TCATAGGGTAAATTTATTGTGAGTTCGAGATTACTTGCACCTTGTCTAGAGTATGTGTGCTAGTACCAGGTGAATATTTGAATACTTATCCCCAAAGGCAGACACATAGCAAGAATAATCAAGTTCTTTCTTTTTCTTTTTCTTCATACCACTTTCCTACTTCATACTCACCATATTTCGATCTAGTATCCTCTAGTTTCAACTTCAGTTTCGAGATATCAATATCATTCAACATTCGGACCTGTTGATTTTGATTTTGTCAGCAGAGCCATTTATCCGAGTGACCGTAGCTGGTTGTTGAGAAATAAGAGAAGTAATTATACTTACATTGATTCCTTCGAAGCCAGGAAGGAAGGCGCGGGTTGAGGTTCGGTACTTTGCCACCCCATATAGCTTCCACTTTGAGGACAAAACTTGTGTTTAAAGGCGCGCGCGGGATCGAGGGTAGCGTTGTAACTCTAGATCATTATATAAATGCTTTAAGTTCCCCTAATCGATTTGTATCTGAATCGAGGCTGCACACCTTTCGGTCGTCTTCACCAGAAAAGTATTTTGCCTCTTTCTTTGGGAAATAAATAAATAGGGCCGCTTGTCGAGCGCACCAAGAGCCTGTCAGAGCGAACACAGGAACAGAGCGAAAAAAGAAATGGATGAGACTGGTGAGACAGGACTTCTAAGTTTAATGAGCTGAAGAGGACGAACAGTTACAGCTTGTTATAGTTTGCTCGTAGATAGATCCTGGTAGCGTTATGGTATATTTTATCAGCCCACAATGGCAGTTTCCAGAGTAGGTTGTCATTGGTAGGGATTAGATGACGAAGATCAGAGGTTGTCCCACTTCTTATCTAACCACTTTATATGACCTGCGGCACCGAAGTACCCGGTCCTAGTCAAAATATTAACACTGCGTTGCAGGCTGTTCCAAGCAATGAGCGAGCGCTCTGACTATTCAGTTTTCACGCTGAGATTATAAAACGCGGGATCTATATCGAACGCGATATATGACAATTCAGTTAACGTTACACGGTCAGCTGGATTGCAAGTGATAGCGAAATACCAGCCAAAGAAGTGCACCAAAACTACCTCAAAAGGCGAACCACCAGACTCAGTGTGCTGTTTGTGTGCTGTTAGATCATGACGATTCAGTTAACGTTACACGGTCAGCTGGATTGCAAGTGATAGCGAAATACCAGGCAAACAGTGCACCAAAAATATCTCAAAGGTGAACCAATGATCAAACTCAGTGTGCCTCCGCTCCATGCCACTTTCCTACTTCATAATCTCCCCCGAATCCCGTCAGGCCATTCAATGGTTTTATCTTTAGTTTCGCAATATCAACATCGTTCAGCATTCGGACCTATACCGAAGGGCTCTTGGTGCTGTTATTCAGTTACTACACGGTCAGCTGGATTGCAAGTGATAGCATTAAATACCAGCCAAAAAGTGCACCAAAAATATCCCAAAGGTGAACCAATGATCAAACTCAGTGTGCTTCCGCTCCATGCCACTTTCCTACTTCATAATCTCCTCCAAATCCCGTCAGGCCATTCAATGGTTTTATCTTTAGTTTCGCAATGTCAATATCGTTCAGCATTCGGACCTATACCAAAGGGATGAATTTTCGATTTAGTGAGCCATTATCCGATTGTTATGAAGCAGAAGGATACTTACATTGACTCCTTCGAGGCCAGGTAGGAAGGCGCTGGCCTCAGGTTGAATACTCTGCCAGCCCATATAACTTCCGCATTGGGGACAAAACCTGTGGCGCGCAAGCTTAGACCCGAAGCTCGCGCTATAGTTCTAGATGAACATAACATTGAAAGTAATTAATTTAGTGTCCGCCAAGCTCCGAGCTTCCTAACTTACATACCTTGAGATCACCTTCCCCAGAAAAATACTTCGCCTCCTTTTTCGGGAAGTAAACGAACAAGGACCCGTACCGAACACAGAGAGAGCCTGCGAAGATTATTTGATGAGGCCACAAGATACGCCGCTGTGGAATGGAAGAGAATGAAAGAGTACGAACAATTACAGCTCGTGATATCCTGTTCGTAAATGGATCCCGGAAGCGTTATGGTGTACTTGACGAGCCCACAGTGGCAGTTTCCGGAGTAGGTTGTCATTGCTATGGCCTTGGGACTGCTTGAGACTTCTTGGGAAGAGGATCGAAAGCTGTAGTCGGTCAACTTCTTTTATAGCTGTCATCGATAAGCCCGTGTCCTAGTAGCTAAAACACATATATTGTGATTGGCCGAGGAATTGATGTGAATGGTGCTGGTGCATATCATATGCCTGGAGGCACAAGACATAGATTCTTCTTGATAAAGTTCTTTGGTGGCGTTGAATGGTACGAAGATCTGCAAAGGCCAAGGATTTGAAGGGAATCCAGGCTAATCCAGGGCATTTAAAGGTCGAGCCAAGTTACTTGAGGAATAGCAGTGCCACTGCCACTTCCGAGTTTCTGCCTTTGGCCAGCTGCGGTTTCTTGTTAGTTGAATTTTGTGCGAAGTGGTAGGATCCGAAGAGGACTGAAGCTCAAAAGCTTGGCAGAGCAAAGTCGGCTTTAGAGCGCCGAGTCTTGTTCCTGAACTTTTTCTTGTTCAGAGTATTTAACACCAGCAAAATCAACGCCTCAACACCCCTCCATCAACCACTTTTTCCAGTTCGTACAGCTGTATCGCCCACTGTCAGATATTGATAGGAGAATATCACTCAGAATCAGATCAATCAAACGAGGCAAGTGACGTCGATGGTCTCCAATTACTACAAAAAGGCTGACCAGACTCTAGTAACGCCAGTATCATGCTTTCGACGTCTCCACACGTATCACCCGACTCGCCGCCTGTCCGTTCAACAATTCTTGGTTCTTTTCTTGGACGAGGCAGGCCAAGAAACTATCATGATCACGAAACCGAACCTACATCTCCAAATCCAACGCCGCTTTTTCGAGGAGGGTCTACTGGAAACGGGAATGCAAACACTAGAGTTGTTCCACCAGAACCCACGAGCTCATCTGCTCCTGGACCTGGCCATGGCTTTTCTTCCATGCTCAGACGAAGACGCTCACCACCAGACGCTGTAGTTCCGAGTCTTCCTCCTCGTCCCGCTACCGCATCCTCTGCTGTTCCCCATAGAACAGCTCCGTCAGACTCCAAAGCCGGTCCTTTCCGCCTCCGTCTCGTCCCACACCTCGAGTCCAACCGTAGTCTCCGATTCGATGTGATTACACGAGACATGCGTCCAGGCGATCCAGTCATCCGAATCGGCCGCTTCACAGATCGTAATGGCAACAACACCACCGCTAGCAGTATCAACAGTAATCCTCATACATTCAAACTGGCCTTTCGGAGCAAAGTTGTCAGTAGAGCTCACGCTGAAATATGGGTCGAAGCCGGCCCAACTGCATCCAGTCCTTCGCCAAAATTCTTCATCCGCGACACAGGGTCGTCTTCGGGCACATACCTCAACCGCATCCGTCTAGGAGCCCCTGGGACCCAGTCGCGCAAGTACGAAATTAAAGACGGGGATTTACTACAATTAGGTGTGGATTATCGAGGCGGGAACGAAGACATATATAAAAGCGTGAAGATACGAATAGAGTTGGGACGGGAGTGGCAGAGTGGAGTTAACAAGTTTAAGTTAGTAATTCGCGTTGTGCTTGGCTCGCTGTTGTCCTAATGTTGCTTTGACTTAGTTCCACTGCAATTAAAAATCTCGAGGCGTTTGCAAAGGCCGTCTCTAGGCCCTCTACTGCGGACAAAAAGGCGGTGTCAAAGAAGAAGAAGGCTTCCTCCAGCGTAGGGTTACCAGATTGTTGTATATGTAAGTCTATCAATTTGCTTCTCATCATACTGTCTTTCATTCGCTCATCAATTCCTTGCAGGTCTATCCCCCCTCACCATCCGCCAATCCTTATTCATATCTGGCCCCTGTTCCCACTCGTTCCACTTCAAATGTATCCGGCCACTATTAGAAAAGACGTATTACAGGTAAGTCTCATTCATTCCTTCCCGTCTAGTCTCTCAATAACCAACATCTTATCTTTCACAGGAGCTTCACATGCCCATTATGCAGAACCTATGTTGATCTCGACGAGAATGTCGAAGTCGAGTCAAACGAGGAGGAGGAAGACGTCGCTATCGACGATGATGCTTTTGATGTAGCTCATGATCCAGACGCGGACAACACTCACACTAGCCATGGCAACGAGAGCGACGTTCTTCTACCCGCGCATCTCGGCGTCGATGAGGAAGCTGATAGGAGGGAAGAAGTGGGAGAAGTTGATAGGAGGGAAGAAGCGGGAGATGAATCTGCTGTGGAAGATGTACATCTGGGGTCGATAACAGCCTCTCGTGGTGTGACTGATACCGCTGTTCATGCGAAAGCGAAGGCAAAAGTTAATCCCGTTGATATCACGCCGTCGTCGGCGTCTTCGTCGAAAAGGAAGCGAGGGCATGGACATGGACAGAAGCTCTCTAGGCTGATCGATACGGAGGGTACTGACGAGAGGCGGGAGGAGGATTATGAGGAGGATGTGGAAGATGGAGAAGACGTGGATATGTCTGATGCTCATCTTTCTGGTGCTGGAATGCGTGTACAGGACGGAGTATGATGTGTAGTGGTGTTGGCCGGGCTTTGCTAGGATTTACATGCATATAGTGTTGCGTCCTAATAATGGATAACCATGTTACATATACCCTAATTACTACTATTTTCCACTAATCGTCATCATTATTCTTGGCTGAGAGTAGTACTGAGAGTTATGAGGATGGAATTGAGCGGTACAGTAAAAAGGATCTCGAGGGTGCCGGAGCTCAGATTGATGAATCGATTGCAACGCGGCGTTCTAGAACTGTTGGATCGAACACAGAAAGATTACTTTGAACTACTGTTGCTCTCTTGGTTGAGCTGCGAGGATCAACCTAATAGCCCAATTTTCCAAAATAATAATGTAGCTTTAAGAAAGCAAAAAAGTAATATCTTAGCTGCGCAGGATCCAGTGGGGGTACCGCGGATCGAACGCGGGACCTTCAGAATAATCGAATGACGTAACGCCAAAGCACTTCAGTCTGCTGCTCTCCCAGCTGAGCTATACCCCCATAGTTATAATTGTAGTTTAACCTCTACAGATACTCAAACAAACGTGCTCACAGTATCAAACGTACACCATAAATAACTTGTTAGATAAAATACTTCTATATCATGCTTTCTCAGTCATCCTTAAACTTGACCTTCTTCAAGTTGTTCTTGTCCTTGTCTAAAAGTTTCTCGCTCCCGTCCCCTCCACTACTCACCAACGAAAACATCAAGCTCCCTGCGAACACCATAGACGCCCCGCCCGCAAGCTGAGCATTCCAACCACTGCCAAACCACCATACGCTGAAACAAAGACTTATCGCTTTTCGCGTGGTTAAGACGAGATTAGTTGATACGGAGGAGACGCGCTAGATATAGGGAATGAATAAGTCAGTCGTTTCGGAAAGACCAAACGTACAGAGGTCAAGCGATTTACGCCAGATACACAAATAAGTTGCGTAACGAGGTTGCCAGCGAGGATGAGCCACGCAGACCATGCGGGTAGTGAGGAGCCGTTGGTGGCGCTGGAGTGGTTGAGGCTCAAGAGACCTTGTTTGACGTCTTGCGCGAGGAAGAGGAACACGGGGAGGGAGAGGACGTGCTATGGACCAGATATGAGGAGACCATAGTAAGAGATGGCGGAGCGGAAACGCACCGTGTAAAACACTCCCTCCTTCCAACACGGACCGTACTTTTTGTATGTCTGCTCTTGAAGCACACCAAGAATGCCGGTCAGGAGGAGGGAAGCTACGACCATCGCTATTCCTAAAGTGTACCGTTGGAGGTCTAATGGATCAATCGAAGATGCTGTAGATGATGCGCTGTTGCCGCTGGCAGATGTTTTGGATAAAGTGGCGAGTATGGCACCGAGAGACACCACGATTACAGACAACTATGCAGTTAGGGTGGACAGCGTGGGTCTCGGAAGTAAAACAGAGTAGCACTGGCAAACAAACCACTTGTGAAATCGAGTACCGTCTTCCAAGGATGCAGAATCCGAGAACCATGGACACTGCCAGACCTAAGATGTGATCCAAGTCAGTATCCTGATTATGTTTGGCATATCTGTAAATCTTCACCAGCCGATCGAAATACAATCAGCACTGTTAGTGGGACATTGAATGCAAACGCCCAGTTATTGAGTAACGATCCAGTAGTATGTACAAGGACTTGTGATGCCCATTGGGAGAGGGGAACTTGTCTTGGTTTGAGACGAGGTATCCATGGCGGAAGGAGGTTGCTCTTGGACGTGTCATTCTTCATCGTCAAGAAATTGGGCAGTGACTGGAGGGTTATGAACACCATTTGAGAAAAGGTCAAAGCAGAACCTGATATTCGGTATGAGATGGACGCAAGTCAATGATAGGTACCAGACACCTACCGATTCGAGGGTTCATTATGAGCAGCTGCTCGTAGGACCATACGTTTCTGTAGGAATTCCTTAGAAGAGTTGGGCCCAAGGAAAAGAACGAACTCACGCGCAACATCCACCTAGAACGAGCGAAAGAATCTAGACAACAGCATTAGTTATTAATATCTTTCCTTCTAGTTCTTGTATACCAACCGCAGAATAATCCAGCAATACAGAGCCAGCTTGAGGTAGCGTGACACCAGGGTCGCCATTGGATTTGTTCAAAGAAGATTTTTTGCTCATGGCTGGACTGGCAATCAAAGCCAACAGCACCAAATGTCCGAAAACGAACGAAAGGGGGAACAAGAGACTTCAAGTCTTGCAGTGACACGTCGGCAATGCGTAAAACGGAAACGGATATAACGTGGGTATATCTGAGATTTTCTGATTTCTACTCTACCCCCACCGTGACCTTATTGGCCAGACAATGGCTTCATCAGCGTCTCCATCACCAACAACGGCAACATTCCCGTCGTCTAGTACAAGTCTTTGCCCCGGATACAGGCACGTTGAAGACTTTGGGCCAGATGAAGAATACGAGGAAGAAATAGAGGAGTTCTACGTGACGCTGGACTTGAGTGGCGCAGAGCCTACGCTAATCCCCAGTTCATCTGCGTATCGTCTAATCGCGAGTACCCTTACTTTACGCGTTAAAATTATCCACTTATTTTCGACTGTCAGGGTCTCGATACACCGAGTCCGTTCATGCAACTTGCTGGAACGGTTTTACGAGGCAGACACGAGTCTCTACTGGGAACTGAGTTGATTTTTACCGACGCGAAAGGTACGCTGCTGTCTTATCCTTGTCGTATTTGAATTGACCACGGAAGACCAGACACGCAAGATAAAACCAAACGACATCTAGCATTCACGTCCGCGACCGAGAAGCGCATCCGTTTTAAGGAGGTCCTGCTTCACTCCAAAGAACCTCCGGCAGAAACCCATGAGGAACAAGGACAAATGCAAGAGGCAGAAACCTTGGATCGAATGACCGGGAAAGGTGCAGAACCATCCGTTCGCAAACGAAAATCAAAAACGAACGGTAGCGATGAGCCTCGTGCTACTCGTAAGAGATCGGTCAAGGCAAAAGACAAGGGCAAAGGAAAGGCAGTAGAGGAAAGTGGAGAACATGGACTGGAACTGGGAGGTGAATCAATGTCTCCTGACACTTCATTACCCGAGAAGGTCTCTCGTAAAAAGTCAGCGGGGAAAGGAAAGGAAAAGGCTGTGGACATTGAAGAGGAAGAGCGAACAATCTGAAGACGCTTGGGTGGACCTTTGATTGTCAATAACGGCAATATGAGTGCTGGATATTATTAGATTGGAGCATGCGCAAGTGAGTATTGCTCCGAAGACGCTTTACTCACGAGGTTTATTGCCTTTCCTCTAGGATGGGCGCTGGCTCACACAATATATCACCTGTATCATTCATTCTATCATTAGAAGAATGATACATATGTACTTAGGCAACACATGACAGAGGAGACAGACGTACAGAGGCGAACAAATAATGATGCAGAGGCGGAGGCTCGACGCCTGCGCAAAGCCTCAATTTCTTGGTTCTACAGCATCCTTCCTTGATCCTTTCTTGATCTCCCTGCGCCTCCATATTGACAAGTACTTGTCGGTATAGAGCATCGAAGAAATAGATTACAGCATTTCTTGTTCTCGATTTCCCCTCGTTGGATGTTCGTTCATACGGTGTTGGTCAATGTCGGTAGCGCTATGGCAGACCACGGTAACCTTGCTGCTTAGCGTGAGCTCACCGGATGGGGTTCAGGTCCCTGTCCGCGATGCTGATAATTTCTACGGCCCTTCCCTACTAGCTGCGAACCATATCACCGATTTCGAACTGGAAAGATGTATGGGTTTTCTCCTACTGTTTCAGAGATAACAACGTAGTGTTACCAATCCATGCTCAAGGAATCATGGTCCTCAGCCCGAGGACAACTTCTCTCAAATTCCTCTGATCCGAACGATGCGCTTGTATGGCAACTCACAGTTGTTACTGGCGTATCTGGTGTATCTGGTGTACCGATTTTGTCGCTCCGAATACACTCTATGATTCTTTCACTTGGTAGCAATCTGGTTTCCGTTGTTCCGAGTAGAATCCTACGTCCCGACTCCCAGTCCGGTAGTTGGAATGATGGGGTAAATGCATCATGGAATATGTATTGGCGCAGTATGTAGTTCAACCCCCGTCCTCAGGATGAATACGGTTCTTTCATATACTGTAAGAGGTTGTATCAAACACGAAACACCGATCTAACAAAATTATTTTTCTAGCCTTCAATCCCGTACGCAGCAATGCTCTTACGCTCTTGCTCAACAAATATTTCTTGTCAGAGCAATTCTTGACAGCGACGCAAACTACATCTACGACCGCTACCCAATCCCCCACCTTATTTGGTTGCACATACCCCGCCAATAACACCGATAAAACGTCATATATACTTAATTGAAGGCACTGCTAGAAATTAGACTTCTTGTCATTGCCGTCGTCGTCATGTTTCTCCGGAGGTATCGGGTTCCACATCGCGCGCAGGCAAGTCTCGCCGGCGCAGATCTACATCCTCGTCCAGCATGAGGGGACGTGGAATAAACCAATTAATATCAGTTTTCCGTTGACCAAAGCCTTCTTCTTTCTCACCGCATACCAGTTGGCACACAGTTCTTATATTTATGGCCAACTCCTGTATGCCTGTGGCACGTTGTCCTTCCTAGTACACAATAGTGACGCCTCCCGGACTAGATGTTCTGCTGTGGTGAACCAACACCAATGTATAGGCGGTAGGAGCCCTCGCTATCGGCAGCAAACCGCGCCGACCACATATTCATCGGGTATTGATATGTTGGCAATGGAGGCCACGGCAGTTTTTGTTACCAAACGTATCAAGGGGGCGGGATCTTGGAAACGAAGCATGGCGCTTTTGGCATAGAGTAAAGGAGGTCAGCCCGGAGGGGTACCATCCCAAATGAAAGGCAGCGATACCACCTCACATTATCAGTGATGGATATAGTTCCAGGTCTAATTCTGTTTGGACCTTTCTCTCTTTGTGTATTTCGGACCTTTGGATTTATGTGCATGATAATTAACGTTTTACTAAGCGCCGCGAACTAGATCTCTCAAATAAAGACAGGCAGTGCGGCCTCCCTCATCTTTTTATTATTATCCCGCAATACTCTCCTTAAAGGGTCATTAAACTCCCACTTGGCCAGCTGAGTGGCTCCCTTTGGGGTTACCCTTCCCTGTACCTGGAACTGCTAAGTAAAGAACCATTCAAAACTTTCAATCATCCGTTCCTTTTCTATACGCCTCATCATACATCTTTCTCCCCTCGGCATCAGGTGAATAGCGGCTTTCAATTCGAGGTGCAAAATCGCTTATGATTTGTTTCAGCTCGTGTGTCCATCAAGATACTAAGGTTCAGTAGCTGTTCGACAGTACACATGAAGCCGTGGTAATGGCGCTTGGTAGTGTTTTAAGATAATATTGGAATGAAAGTGGGAATCATCCCTTTCTCCTTTCCTTTTGACTATTTCCACGCATTTTTTTCTAGTTAGCACGACGCTCAGTCGATTCAATGTTTTTCCTTCGTTTTCTAGTCTTGG